GGGGCAGTAAGCATGTGGTTTTAGGGTTCACTTTTTAAATTTCCCATTTGTTAGAGGTTACTGTATTTCATTGCCTGATGTTCTGTGTCTTAAAAAAACATAGTTTCATTTATTATGTCTGTTTTGTTTATTTCAGGCTAGAGGTTAAGTGGGCCTGTTTTTCTGTTTTCTTCTCTCTGAAGAGTAAGTCTAAAACATTGTCTATTTTCTTCTTATTCCCACAAAGCTTCACTTAATGTTTCCTCTCAGATAGGCCTTTCTGTCATAACACTCTCAAAAATAGGTTCACCTTTTCTCCCTTATCTCATTTTTCTCCTTGACAGCATTGATATCTTTTTTTCAACTGTAACAATACATCTATGGATTCTTTATATGTTTTCTAGTATAAATTGAGGAAAGAGAACATAATTATTTCACTCATCACTATATATCTAGTGCCTAGAAAAATGTATGACACAGAAGATGCTTAATATATTTTTGAATGAATGAGCTTTTCCCATTTATTACTTACCATAATTTTTGTTCATTTTTGTTCCTTGGGGCATTCCTTCTTTTCTTATTCTTCGTTTTACTCCTCCATTTTTGATGTTTTCCAATTCTTTTTTTTTTTTTTATATTTATTTGCCTCTTTTTGCTAGTTCTTTCTTATTCTTTTCTTTAATTTTTTTTTTGCTTTTTTTTTAAGATTTTATTTATTTATTTGACAGACAGAGATCACAAGTAGGCAGAGAGGCAGGCAGAGAGAGAGGGAGGGGGAAACAGGCTCCCCGCTGAGCAGAGAGCCCAATGTGGGGCTCGATCCCAGGACCCTGGGATCATGACCTGAGCCAAAGGCAGAAGCTTTAACCCACTGAGCCACCCAGGCGCCCCTTTTCTTTAAATTTTTATTTATGCTTCTATTTGTGTTTCCAGCATCTATTACCATTTCCTACACTCTGGAAAAAAACCATGCAGTGAAAGCAGGAAAATATCTATAGAAAGATTTGAGATTTTCTAAAGAGTTTCCCATTACATAACTAGGAATTGATGTGCAAGCAATTTTGTCTGGCAATATTCTACAATAAGCCCACTTTTAAAAACTCCTTTTTGTTCAAACAGGATACTACTATTCTCTAACTAGCAAAATTTCTGTCATTTTCACAAGTAGGAAAAAACACTAGACTATGAGACAGTTGACTGGGTATGAGTCTTACCATAGACTGGTTGTGATTCTAGAAAAGTTATGTAATCTCTTTGTGGCTTCGTTTTGTCTTTTTATAGTAAAATAATATCTTATTATTTACAAAAATGTTTCTAAAAACATTAACCAAGAAAAATTCCATAAGTCTCTAAGGAAGGTAGGGACTATGAATTTTTACTTTATATAGGAGAAAAAAGAAACTCAGAGAAGTTAAGTGACTTGCCAGAGATTTTAGATGTAATGAGTAGTTTATTAGAAAAAGTAGAACTTGGTATAAACCTTCTGACCCTATGCCCGTTGCTCTTTCCAAATCATTTCACTGGCTTCACAATCATAGTCTGTCAAATACAGAGGCTTCCTTTGAGCCATAGAGTTTTATTATTCTATGATGTGAAAGATTTGCAGATGGAATAAGGTTTTGGTGGGGGGAGTTACTTGGAACCTAAACTACAATACAAAATGATCAGTGAAAGAGCCCAGGACAAGACTGAAATTGAGGTGTTTCTCCAGAAATTAAAAGTATAAAATTCAAAATAGAATGTGGATCACTTTGAGAGCAAAACTGTTATAACAAAATATAAAAGCCGGATTTCAGAGATCACCTTGTTCAGTCTCCTCAATTTTGAGAAATAATTTTGAATTGTTTCATTTTTGAATATATTATTTTATTGATTGTGGATAAAAACTGGAAAAAAAGTGGTTCCTGATTATAGTATAATGCAATTAATTTCCAATGACCCTGAAACTTTCAGATACTTAGAGACACTGAATAATACAAAGGAAAGCATATGAAGTCTGTTTTGCATTAGATAGGTGTAAGTTAGTTCCCACTAATTGTAACTTTGGGAAATTAATATCTTTTGACTTCATTTTTGTCATTGGTAGAGGAATCTACAGATATCTCTATGCCTTAAAGGGTTACAATGACCATTAAATAATATAACACTGAGTTAAATTGCTGAGCACAACCCTAGAATAGAATAGACACTCAAAGGAAGTGGGTTAAGTTTCCCCAAATAGGGACAATGCAGATATGCTTTCCTGAAAATTAGGAAACAATTCATGAAATTGGCCAAATAGTCTCTATTATAACAAAAAGGAACTATAAAGATGTAATCAGGTTATAAGATTAAATAAAAGAAAATTTTCATAAAATTAATTTTTAAGACATATTCTAAGATATACCATTAAGTCATTTATCAGTCCCTTATCAAAATATAGGATACTGGTTATCAAGAGAAGACTTAAAAGAAATTTGATTTCAAATCTCATGGCTTGTCTGAACTCCTAGGGAGCTCACTGGTAGAGACATAGAGGATCTTTTAATGGTCTTCTAAGAACTTGATTTTACTTCTGTCTTAACACTTCAGATCTTTGCTTAGAAGAAATTATGATCTGTTTTGCAGAATTCCAGTGAACCCAGTAACTACAGAAGCTATTTCTGCTCTCACTTGTCAAATCTGAAAAATCCTCTGGCTATTCATATGAGCAAAAAGAGCCAGCTAAGTGCCCTGTCCTAACCATAATTTAGTTACTGAGCACATATTTGTGCCAGGTGTAGAGGGTATAAAGAATTTGAGATCTACTCTTCAGGTTCTTGCCATGCATTTGGAAAGGTAGAGCATATGCATAATAATAACTAAACATACAAATGAATTTATGCTAAGCTCTAACTGGTTCACATACTTCCACATACAAGCTTATACATTATAGGAATTTAAATAAAGGAACTGGCACAGCAGGGCTCTGATGGCAGCAGGAAATGTTTACAATAGGAAGTAAAATTTGAGCAGGGCATTTCTAGAGAGGAGATGATGATATGAATAAATTATAAGAGTAGCAAGATATATATATTTGGCTTAAGGGGAGTGTTTTTATGGAAGAGTAGTAGGAAATTCATTTGAAAATGTAGATAGGAATTATATTTTAGAGTACCCTGAATGTTTAAAAACTTAGCTTTTTAAATCCGAAGGCAGTATAAGATTATTGAAGTGTTAGAAGTAAGTGAGCCTGTCTCAGAATTTCTTTAACCTTTATATCATGGTTGATACTGTAGAATTCTGATTAAAAGCCTGCTCCTGCTTCTTGTCCTAAGTATACAATTTCTCTTCTTACTATAAAAACATTACATGTTTATTACAGAAATATCAGAAAATACATAAAATTTAAAAGAAGAACTTTGTAAAATCCACAATCTCATGTTTGGAAATTTTTCTATTTGTATAGATGGATTCTCTCTCTCTCTCTATCTCAAACACACACACACACACACACACACACACATACACACACAATGTTGGGGCATCTAACCTTGAGAAGGCTAAACTGGGATTCAGAAGCTCGAGGATGCATGTTAAACCACCTGGAGAATCCGTACAGGAAAAGTTTTGGCTGAAACTTTTTATGTGGCGGGAAATGGGTTTGAAAGAATAGAATTAGTGTAGAAGTCAACTAATTTTTTATGTAAAGAGAAATTAGTAAGAATTTTGAGTATCATGGGTCATATGATTTCTGTTCAACTCTGCCATTGTAGTGAGGATGTAGTGAGGATGTAGCCATAGGTAGTATGTAAAATATCGGTGTGGCTCCAATAAAGTTTTATTTATGGAAACTGAAATTTCATGTAATTTTCAGGTGTCAAAAAATATTATAATACCTAACAGGTTCTGTTTTAGAAGAAGCAGAAGTCAACATAGATATCAGTGTTCTATCACAAATCCAAAGGAGCAAAGACAGTGAAAAGCATCCCGAAAGGGGGTTTTCTGCTAGAGTAGAAAATTAGAGGATACCGATAATGAAAAATAAGGCACCCTATGGGCATTCCCAGAAATATGTTAAGGATTTCACAGGGATTGAGTATCTTTAGCTACAGGAAGATAATGTTTTAGGTTATTATAAGTGATGTGATCCCATTAATCATCTACAAACTGGTGAGGTGAAGTCTGAAGAAATTCAAGATACAATAATATGTATATGTGTGTGTATGTGTGTACACATATATATATTTTGTACAAATATGAAGCCATCGTATATATTAAGCATCGTATATATTAAGTTTTTTAAAACATAACATTGATCAGTATATTGTAAATGCCTTCTCATCAATGAATGTTCGCCCCTAATATCATTAGTATTATCTGCACCTACAGTCATACCTTCATTCTCCATTCTTTCCGCACTAATTTATAGAATTGCTTACTTCACCATCTTCAAATTTGCATTTTCTACCATGATAAATGTTAATACTATTGACTTTTTAGTTTGTGACTTTAATTCCCCAACTTCCCAGTGTTTGGTACCTAAAGTCACTATAGAAATGTGTGTTTGTGTAATATATTTTAATAAAAAGCATCAAAATTTGGAATACTTAGCTAATTCTAAGAAATCTAATTCCTTAGAAAAAGAAAACATTGTGGCCCTTGTTAGAACACTTTTATAAAATGGCCAGAGGCACAAGGTTTCCAAAACAAGAAAGCAATCAATTGTTATTGATACTGGAATGTCAAGCTTACTGCTTATAAGGACACCATGGCTCTTCCTCCTCAAAACAAAAGACAGGGACTCTTGAACTAAGAGAATGTGGTCTGCATGGTTTGAAATAAACACTGGAGTAATGGGTGTGAATAAATGGATATATAACATTAGCTATTTGAAGTATTTACATACTTGTTAAAATTATCAGGTTGCACTTCCATAACAAAACAAAAATTTGCATGCATGCTGAATGTGTTTTTAAAAACACATTACTAAGCACAGATGTATGGGTTTAACCAGGCATTAAGACTTAAAAAGCTATTTGCCTAACCTTTATAGAACTTACTCTGATAAGAAGTACGGATCCGTTTCGTTAAATCAGGATAAAGGTTAGACAGGCCACGCATGCAAAAGTTGTCTTTGGAACATGCCAGAACATCAGCATCAGCAGCAGGCAGAGGAAAGAGAGAAAAATAGTCTAAAGTGAAAGGAAGTGATATCATACCAGAATCTAGAACAGCCAAGATGAAGAAATTGCAGCAAGTTTAGGTAATCAAATTAGAAAAGAGATATTAAAAAATAAATCAGTTAGAAAGAGGTGACAGATGAATGATGAGAGTGTTGTAATAATTTTATTTAATCAAATATCCTGTAAGAATAGATGTTATATTTTATTTTTATAACATAAAGTGAGTACTCATTGTAGTGATTTTATACACTAAATATGAACAAAGTTTATGATTTTATCTTTTTTTCCTGATTTTAAAGTCATCAAAATTCTAAGCTCTAATCATAATTAAGTCTCAATAAGTTTAAATTAAGTAATAGTTTTATGATACTTGTCACAATATATACCTTGTCATCCCATTGTGTATATCCAGTAAGTAACTTAGATGGTGTCATAGGATCCACAGCTTTTTTAATTCAGTTTTTGCTTTCAGCATACAAATGTTGCCTCCTATCCCCTAATATCTTCCTATCCTAGAGTCCATAAACTTTAAAAAAATCAATGTTCTCTTTCCCAGTCAATGGGGGAATCTTATGGTATATGCATGCGCAATTTCTCTTATTCTGCCTTCTTTTCAAAAGTCAGAAATAGTAGAGGCAGAACCTATAGAATTTGAACTTTCTAGCATTCCTAAAATATTGCTAAAAGCTGAGATCCTTAATAAAAAACAGAGACTCCAATTTCTGAAGGAGAAATTTTGTGCTCCTGAAAAGGGTCTAAATTTAGCAATGTGGAAAGATTTGATGTTTATTAAAAAAAAAAATTAACAAAAAGGGAGAATTTCAGTATGTCAAGTTAATTTTTCATTAGTCAAAAAGGAAACGTATTATAACATTCCAATGTTAAGTTTGGCACATTTGATATTTAGAAAATAACAGCTACTATCATGTTATGTTTCTAGTTTAAAACATTTTTTACATTAGTATATTTAATAAAGGCTTTAATAATCAACTGAGTTTTTAAAATCAACTGATTAAAAAAACAAAATCTAATAAAATGAAACACATAATACTATAGATGTATTTCCATTGGCAAATCTTTGGGCTCAACTAATTTTTTATTAACTATAGTATGTCAGTGGACAGAAAATATGAAAAATTTTGTCTGTTTACAAAGTCAACTATTTGGATAAATATTGAAATTTCAGTTAACTTTGAATAATTTAACATATCAAAATTTGACATTATGTAGAAAATATTTGTTTATATCTTAATTAACCTTATATGTTTTTCTTTTATAGTTAAACAAATTTATTTGTCCTGTCAAGCAAACTGTTAACTTTCACAGCATTTTAAAATGTTAATTAATAATGTTTACTGCATTTGTGAAAATGCCTCCAAGAAAATCACCATCCTACAAGGAAAGGTGACAGCTAAAATACAGAGTTTAAAAAATTAAAAATAGTGAAATATTTAAAATTATATTTTTAAAGAGTCCAGTTATATTCAGAGAAAATTATCCTGTTAAATACAACCATTGCAAACAAAAATTTTCAACTACAGAACTTGATTTTCATAACATTTTTATATTAGTAGCTTATTTTCTCTGATTTCTTAGGAATTCAACCTAAGAAACTTGAGATGCTTCCTAACTTTGACAACAAATTGAAGTTTAAACACTTCCTTTACCCTTTCAAATATTCTCACTACATTTCTGCCCAAATTTACTTACATATTATAAATTGTGTTGAATTTATGTTGCCATGCATTTGAACAGTATCATAGGAAAAAAGATAAGAAATCTAAAGGTAAAAAAATCCAGATGAACTAATCAAGTTCATAACCATTTTGTTTTATCTCCTACCTGCAATGAACTGCTTGTTTTTTCGAGGAGACCGTGGTTGACGTTGGTATAGGTCACTTGATTTATATAGGTCAATGGTCCCCATGCTTAACAGTACTGTCTTCTGTATAAAATCCACCACAGCCAACCCATTGCAGTTCCCAAACGCAACTCTGAGAGAAAAAAAAAATGCAACTAGAATGCATCACAGCAATCATTATTATTTTTATCTTTGAATAAAAATAAGATAATTAGAGAGTAATGCCTTAGGGTTGGGGAGGTTAGATCATCATTGGTATAATGTCAGGAAGTATATCATGCCTTTACATAGGATAGGGTAATCTTGTATAGTAGCCATGACCACTGCAGTCATAGTTTATCATCAATTTTATTAGTTAAGTAGTGATTTCCCAATCTGCTCTTAAACTTGGCCTTATATTTTTATAGTAGAACCATATAAAATCTTTTTGCTTTGCAATGGGGAAATACATTAAGAAATGGCACACTTTAATAGCTATAGATCGTTAGGTATGTAATTAGAGGCTTTTTAAAATAAAATTAGAATTGTTAAGCTCCAAATTATGTCTCTTCTTAAACAGAGAGTATGTATTTAATGCAAAATGTTACATAAAATTAACTTTTTATATCTAAGGTTTTGATACCATAGTAGATATAAACAGATACAATTTTCATTCACAAAAAATTAAAATTTTCTTACTCTCTATTCTTTATTTGTCCTACTTATTAAAAGACAAACACAATTTGATTAATTTCTTCTGAGAAATTAAAACAGCTTTACTAAGCAGGCATTTTGAAGAATTATTTATTTATTTGATACAGAGAGAACACAAGCAGGAGGGACAGAGGGGAAGGAAGAGAGATCATAAGAAGACTCCATGCTTGGTGCATAGCTGGATGTGGGGCTCAATCTTATACCCTGAGGTCATGACCTAAGCTGAAACCAAGAGTTGGTCAATTAACCAACTGTGCCACCTAGGTATTTTAATTTAGACTAATTTTCCTAACTTAGTGAATGGAGAGATTTCCCAGGCTAGAGCACAGGAAAATGAAACATCAGTGGTCATATTGAATTGAGGAGAAAGAGATCAGAGTCTGATAATGTAAAAGCAGCCAGAATTTAAAATATAGAGAAATGAGAGCTGCATAGAAAGAGTACACCAGAGAGATTTATAGAATGGTTCTCTTGAGTATCCATGTAAAGTAACTACCCCAGGCTCAGGAAAGAATCACCAAAGAGATAAAGCTGAACAATTCCCAAAGCTTACACAAGGCTGAAAATATTTCATGTTACTACCAGCTAAGCTGCCGAGATCTTCTAATACATTAAAAAAAACACAGATATAAGTAGTATCACTTTATTTTTTTATTTTATTATTTTTTAAAGATTTTATTTATTTATTTGACAGACAGAGATTACAAGGAGGAAGCAGGCTCCCTGCTGAGCAGAGAGCCCAATGTGGGGCTCGATCCCAGGACCCTGGGATCATGACCTGAGCTGAAGGCAGAGGCTTTAACCCACTGAGCCACCCAGGCACCCGTAGTATCACTTTAGTAGTGGAGACAAATTAGCCATGAACTAAAGGCTCTTCTGAACCCCATCCTAAAAAAAGCTTAGAAACATGATTCTAAATAACATAACTGCCTTCCAGAAAAATCTCCAACACTATTAAAAAGAATCAACAAAATACCACCATAATGTAAAATTCACAATGTCCTCTATATAACAAGTAGCAGGCATATATAGAATTAAGAAAACATGACTGGTAAGCAGAGGAAAAAAAAATCTACAGAAATGAAACATATGACAAAAGTAGCAAACAAGGATATTAAAAATACTTAATAAATAGGGGCACCTGGGTTGCTCAGTCAGTTAAGTGTCTGCCTTTGGCTTAGGTCATGATCTTGGGGTCCTGGGATTTAGCCCTGTGTCAGGCTCCCTGCTCAGTAGGGAATATGTTTTTCCCTCTTCCTCTGCTGCTCCCTGCCCTGTTTGTTTCTTCTCTCTCTCTCTCTCTCAGATAAATAAATAAAATCTTAAAAAATATATATTGCAGGTATTTGAGAAGGGGGAGGAAAACCTACTCTAGAGCTATAGGAATAAAACAGACTGGTATTGAAATAAAGATAAAAAATAAATTTTAATGAAACAGAAGAGTGGCCATAAACACACATAAATGGTCATCTGATATTTGACAAAAGTGCCATGACAATTCAGAAGAAAGATATCCTTTTTGTTAAATGATGTGAAACAATTAGATTTATATTTGTATTCCACCTCTCCACATTTTAAGTATATGTCATATTTTGTATTTTCTTATTTTGTGTATCCCTTAAGTAATTATTACAGATACAATTGGTTTTACTACTTTGTCTTTTAACCTTTATGCTAGCTTTGTAAGTGGTTGATCTACTACCTTTACTGTATCTTTGCTTTTACCTGTGAGGTTTTATCTTTCATAAGTTTTTACTTCTAGTTATGGCCATTTCTTTTCTTAAAGAAGTCCCCTTAACTTTTCTTATATGGCCAGGTCAGTGGTGATGAACTCCTTTAACTTTTGTCTGGGAAATTCTTTATTTCTCCTTCAATTCTGAATGAAAACCGCTGGATAGGGTATTCTTGGTTGTATGTATTTTCCTTTCCACTCATTGAATATGTCATGCCACTATCTTCTGGCCTGCATGGTTTTTGCTGAACTATCACCTCATAACCTTATGGGGGTTCCTTTGTACATAACTAGTTACTTTTCTTTTGCTGCTTTTGAACACTACATCAAAAACTAATGATGTACTATATGCTGGCTAATTGAACATAAAAAAAAAAAAAACTCCATAGGAAGTTGCTAACAATTGGTGCAGTTCACCTTGAGATAGAAACTATTTTCTACCCTGCAAACCCTAAGATAATGTTAATAATTGTACCCAACTAACTGTGCCTAAACAAACAAACAAACAAAACCCTCTTTTTATCTCTAATTTTGACATTTATTATTATATGTCTTAGTGTAGGCCTCTTTGGGTTCTTCTTTTTTGGAGTTCTCTGTGAGATTTAGACATGAATATCTGTTTCCTTCCTCAGGTTAGGGAAGTTTTCAGCTATTTCTTCAATTAAATTTTCTGCCCCTTCCTCTCATTCTTCTTCGGTAGCCCTTATAATATGAATGTTAGTACCCTTGAAGTCACAGAGATCTCTTATATTATTATCAATTTAAATTTCTTTTTTCTTTTTGAAGTTCAGCTTGGGTGATTTCCAATACCCTGTTTTCTAGATCACTAATTTGTACTTCTGCAGCATCTTATCTGCTGTTGATTCCCTTGAGTGTATTTTTCATTTCAGTTATTATATCCTTCAGTACTGATTGGCTCTCCTTTATATTTTCTATCTGTCTGTTGAGTCCTCACTGTGTTCATCTATTCTTTCCTCAAGTTTGGTTAGCATCTTTATGATCATAATTTTGAACTTTTTATTAGGTAGATTCCTTATTTCAGTTTCATTTAGCTCTTTCTCTGAAGGTTGTCTATTCTTTAATTTGGAATATATTCCTCTCTCTCCTCATCCTGCTTGACTTTGTGTGTTTGTTTCTACATATTAGGTAGATCAGCTGTATCTCCCAGTTGTGAAGGAGTAGCCTTAGGTAGATTTCCTGTGTGGCCCAGAAGTACAAGCCCAGCTGTTCACCAGAACCAGGTGCTCTCGGGTATCCCCTATGTGGGTTCTGTGTTTCATTCTGTTGTGGCTGGGTTGCAGCTGCTACAGGTGTACTGGTATGTGGGCTGACCCTTGACACACCTGGCTGAGAGGCCTGTCTACAGCTTCTGTGAATTTTGGGGGTGGTCGTGGGGGGCAGGACTAGCTTCTCTTATGTTTGACTGCAAGTTCTGGCCATGACTGTTGCAGCTGCCCTGGTGGATAGGCCCATAAGGAAACACCAGGGTGGGATGAGTAATGTTAACAAGGTAGTTGGAGAGTATCAGAAATGGTGTCTACCTGTACCAGGCTAGTTAGGTAGAGGAATATGAAAAAGTGCATCTATTCCTAAAGAAAGTTGCTACAGATACTGTCTCTCCAGCACACATAGTAAAATTAGTCAATAAATCTCCTTCAAATAGGACCCAGGTTCCTTTTAAACTGCTGCCTCTCTGTTGGGTCTTGGTGTAAATGAGTTGGTGCACAGGCTCTTTATGAGCAGAGTCTCATTTTCCTACAGCCCCATAGCTCTCCCAGAGTTAAACTTCACTAATTTTCAAAACCAGATGTTATGGGGTCACATCTTCCCAGTGCAGATCCTCAGGGCAGAGATGCCTAATGTGGTGCCTTAACACTTACCTTCTCAGGGAGTACCCCTGACTTTGCGATATCCTTGCCACATGTGGGTTGTCATACTGGGGATATAGGTCTTGAGTAGTCTGCATCTCTTCCCCTCTTCCTGTCTCCATGTGGCTTTTCTTTTATAGCCTCAATTATGTAAGAGTTATTCTTCTAGTCTTCTGGTCATTCTCAGAGAGCGTGTCCTATATGTAGTCATATTTTAATGTGTCCATGGAGAACTTAAACTCAGAACCTTTCTACTCTGCCATCTTGATTTTCTCCTCATCTATAAATTCTTTTTGTATTTGTTAGATAAAATCACTCTATTATCCATTTATTTTGTATTCAATAAATAATGTTTAGTAATTATGTCTTCAAGCTATTATTGTATGGGTGGTTAATGAAGCACTATCCTTTCTAGCCCTGGGATAGTACACTATTTTATGTTTTTCTACATCCTAGATAAGATGCCATTGGTTAAAAACTCCTCAATTATTCTATTTGGATATGTCATGTGTATCCTGCCCTGAGCCTAAAAGTTATTTTATTTTATTTTTATTTTTTAAGTAAGCTCTATGCTTAATGTGGAGCTTGACCTCACAACCCTGAGATCAACAGTCACAATGCTCTACTGAGTCAGCCAGACACCCATAAAAGTTACATCTTATATGTGTTAATACATTTAATCCTTTCAACATTTTATCTTATTTTACTGATATGGGAGTCAAGCACAGAAACTTTAACTTTTCTAAGATTCAACAAATAGAAAACAGAATTAAGATTTGATTCCCAAAGAATCTGACTCTAGCATTCAAGCTCTTTAACTCTGTACTTGATTAATTCTGT